AATTAATGAGTATGAGAACAGTCTTTTCCATATTATTCATAGGAATCAAGCAAGTTCTGTTCTTTGGTTTGCAGAAACATTTGGATTAATTCCTACAAGTTTAACCTTAAAGGAGGAGAACTCTGGAATACAGCATACAATCAATATTGGTAATTCACACTGCTTAGTTGCAAGAAGTTTAATTTAGTAGCATATATATTCTCTGATTTCACATTAATATTAATTTTTGAATATTAAGTAATGAAAAAATTATCAACAGACAAATCACAAAAAGCCCCACCAAAAGTTCCCCTGGCCTCTACAGAGCAGCATCACACTGAATGCACTGAATCYCATGAGGAACAACCWACAACCTCYGGTAGAAAATGTAGACAGCTACTCCTAAGGAGTGGTTGGTGATGTCAATGATTATGATTTTCATATTGCATTAATATCTGTGTATTTTACATGTCCAATTTGTAAATTATTATCAACAGACAACTTGCACAAAGCCTCCCCAAAAGACCCCCTGGCCTCTGGAGAGCAGCCCACCATGTGCACTGAAAGCCATGAGGAACAGCCTACAATCTCTAGTAAAAACATGTAGTGGTTGATGATGTTAATTTACAATAATTTTTATTTAAAAATTAAAATATTTCTGTGTACATGCAGGTACATAACTGTTGGATAATGTTCCACACTGGATCAAAACTTCATTACTTAATCCACTAAGCTTCAAACTTAGTACATGTAGTATTTCAATAACAATATTGTTTTTGGTTCTCTGCAGGTGTTACTCCAAAATCAAAGAAAGATAATTATGGAACAAATGGTATATCTCCAAGCAGGCTTTACAGAATTAAAAAATATCTTGAGCTTCCTGATAATAAAAAAGAGAAAATAAAACAGTTAACCCACATCCTTAACAAATTTGGTGTGTCGTATGAGGCATACCATGAAATCACACAAATACCCGGCAATGAAGAGTTGACACGTGCTTACCTTGTTCAAGGCTGTGAGGGTTTCCTTGACTCTCAGTGGGATGTGAAAAAAACACCAGGCAATACACCTGGTGCAGAACTGAGTTTCAAGGATTTGCTATCTCAGCAGCTTAGAGACAATGTAAGTAATTAACCCAGATATACATTAAATATTATAATAATATTCAGCACAAATAGTCATTTTAAGGGAAAATTTATTATAAAAATCAATAACAGTTAATTAAAACATCTATACAGCCCTATTTATTTTGTTATTTCTTTTCTTAACACTTGTTTCAGATTAAAAGAAATGACATCAAGGATCCACAAAAAATAACTTTTAAGGTTTCATGTACATGTTCTTATAATACTATAGAGAGTGKTTTTCAAAAACCTGTGAAATACATACTAAGTTTTTGCTGTGCATATAAGCATGGCTATATACTAACACAATTTACTTTTTTCTTCTTAATTATTTAAAGATAAAGATCAGTGGTGATGGAGCAGCATTAACAAAGAAAAGTAATCTACTTGTATGCTCGTTTGGGATTATTGATGATGGAAACTTAATGATGTCTAGCCTGGGTAATCATTCACTGAAGAATTGTATAAGTCAATATGAAAAAGTAACAAAATATACATGCTACAACAACTGTGTTTTAACAAATTTTTGCTCTTGATTTTCCTCTTTTACACAGGAAATCACACAATTGCTGTGGTGCAAACACACTCATTCTCTGGTAACGTGTGCAACTGTGCTTGAAAAATGTGTAAAAATCAAAGTCAACAGTGAACAGTGCGTNTTAAAACCTGGATGGTGGAAATAAACTAGAGAGAACGCCAAGAAGCCCAAAAATTCGTAGTGTGTGGATGGTGAATTATAGTTAAAATGACGAAGAGAAAATTAGTGGTTTACTATTGCGTTAGCCATACGGGATGCAGCAGCATGTTTTTGTTTGTCAGTCATTTCRAGATAAATCATGTAACRATCGCTATGCCAATCTCCCTGCGCTTTGATAAGCTCGGAAGGAACTCGTGACTCAAAGGCAAAGGTGGCTCCGCCTCTGCGGAAACTATGTGGTGAATAAAGTTTWGAGTCTAAACCAACCGCTCTTATTACGCGGGTGAGAAAAGCGGAAAATTGTGCATAGGAAATAGGAACATTCCGTTTTCCTGACTGAACTGAGAATAGGGGAGCGTCCTTAGGAACGCGGTTGATACTTAAATGATTGATAAGTGCCCTAAAGGGGCATAATAAGCTTCCTTGAATCAGTGGTAATGGTAAAGTAAATGTTCTCTCTTGAAACTGAATAGTTTTGGAAGCTTTGACTGTAACATAAGCGAAATTATTTCCGAATTTTAGGTCCGAGCGCAAAATAACCTTAGGGGAAACCTTATCTACCGAGTCGACGACTAAATTAGATTTTCTGAGGAAAGAAAAAAAAGGGCGACTAAGAATAAGGCCCACATGGCGGCCTGTAAAGGATTACTTAAATTAAATAAAGGAACGAGGTTATGCAAAAGGCTAACCGTAATCGGGGCTTTCCTATGGGTTTCGGTGCCCAGATGACGTTTAGTACCTCTTAACAGTAATTTAAAACGATAATCCGCATCCCATGTCAACTCGTGGCCTAAGARCTTATGCATGTGTTTAAGGGCACTGATATGATTCAAGATGGTGCCATAAGCTCGGCCGAGTGACACGAGATAAGTGACGTATCTAATCACAATAGTAATCGTAACCGGAAAAGGATTAAAACTAAGTGAGTTGCAAAAACGAAGATAATTGTTTATCTGTGACTTGATGTTTTTGGTAGTCGATTGTGCGTATGCCGAGTGGATCAGTGTTTGACTCAGAGTATCCAGTTGGGCGAGATCCATTGACAAGTCAAGTTTCTTCTGCTGATCTGCAAGATAAGAACGAGYGATGACATAGGTTACGTAATCTCGAAGTGAAATACATCTTTGTCTTCTGATAACATTGTAAAAGTCAGGCCAAGTTGGTCTTGTAGTTCATGAAATCGTGTCTGAAAAATGTGTTGATCCATGCGACTCAAACAATCCGCGAACGTGTTGTGGGATCCGGGAATATGCTGAACATGAACATCTAAATCGTAGCACGCAGAAGTGAACCACAACTGTCGTAAACAGCGCTGCATAAATTTGTCACGACACCTTCCTGAATGCACGACTTGAACTGCGGCTTCATTGTCACATGAAATTACGAATGAAAGACCAGCTAATCTGGGAGCCCATTGACGAACTGCAATGACAAGTGTATAAAGTTCCAGTGCGTTTATGTGTAAGGCTTGCGACTCGATGTCAGGTGGAAAATTAAAAGAAATGCATTCGTTTAGACAAGTGGCCCCGCCTTTATGCAGARACGAATCCGTAGTAAAGAAAATGTCTGTAAAATGCCGCAGAGAWTGTTGTATTAGAGCCACGCCGTTGAACACTTCTAGAAAGGTTAACCACCATTGCACGTCGATTTTCATGTCTGAAGTGACGAGAGACGTTGAGCGCGTGTCTGGTAATCCGCGGAGACGATTCAATAAACGAGACATGAAGATCCGACCTGGTTTTACACAGGCCGCGACGAAAGATAGTTTTCCTAGTAGAGATTGAAGTTGTCGTTTCTTAAAGTGAGACATTGATAACCAGAGCTGCAGTTCGTCACGTAA